ACTGGATGTCAATGATTAGATTATTAGATATTGAGATATGTGTTTTGGAATTTGTGATGTAAAATTTTAATGAACATTAAACACCCGATGTAGAAGTTCTACCAACTTTAAAAGGAGTAGGTGATCAGCATTTATGTTATTCTTTGTTTTCAGGAATTTTTAGGATGATACGCATGATCTATAAAAAATTGGGGGCGTTCGGATACTTATGACCGCTACTGTACATTACATAAGACACTGTTAGACCCCTCCCCCAAAGGATATTACGCAATCTTACATAGCCGCATGATGAAAATTTGCTTTTTAATAATTGCGTGTACTTCATGTATTATCATTTTATTAATGCAAATAGAAAGTGAAAACGAAACTGATGGTGATTAACATACATACATTTAACAACGATAACAGAGAGAATGATAGCACATAATGTTGAGTGAGACAAATGAAGAATCAAACGAAGCATAAAAGAATAAATTAACACATTAGTAGTACATGTAATTCATTTTTATGAATCATAATTTTTGTGTTTTACACTCTTTATTGTTAAGATGTTCTCTAGGAAAAATAACAATTACGTACATGTAATACATGTACATACATAATTACATGTACGTAATTACATGTAGTTCGTGATCATAATATTTTCAGTTTGTGTGTCTACGTACGTAATAGGTATATCTACTGGTGAAACGTCATTTCATATTAATTATTAAAAAATGTAACTACGTATGGGCAACTGCAGATTCAGAATGGCCATATCCTATCATTTTCGGAGAGGATAAAAATAGTTTTCCACTAATTCTTTTGCTTTTTCCCAGTTTTTCATATTGTTTTTTTTGGCTTGACTCACTGTGCATTTATCCTATTTGCATATCGATATCGATATTGATCTATCATTATTTTTATAGCAGTAATCTCACTTTGCTGATTATCTTTTTTTTTGTTGATTAAACGTAAGTTCAGATAAATATTTTTTTTGGTTGTAGTTTGATTTTGTTATACATGTATTTAGAAATAGGAATCGATGCTACGTAATAATCAATATCTGATTTTAGAATCGATCTTGAGTTATTCGATTCTAGAGATGGCTTCTTATCTAAACAGTGATCATAAAAACCCAACACATGTATAATGAAGCAAAATACGTATATAACATGGCAAAGAATATTTACCCGGAACATCCGCTAATCAACAAGAAAAAGAAAATTTCAAATGAAGCAATATTAGCCAAACAAAACAACACAAGTTTCCCTCATATCGCAAATGTGATCTATTTCATTCAATTAATATCTTTGATGTTTTTATCAATATTTAGCTGTGAGACTTGAACAAATCTTGAATAACATTGTGATCATAACGATATCGTACGTACAAATACAGTACATGTACATAACGATAAATGAGGAATCAATCTCCGAGATCATTATACATGTACGTACCTGTAAATGTAATCGTACGACCGTTACCTTGAATCTTTTGGATAGAACATATGTCTAGTTTTATTTATTATAAAATATAAAAAGTTCGCGAATGTCATAGACCTGTATTTATGTTCTTGTAAATAAAACAAAGATAATATCAAAACATAAAAGACTAGAAAAAAACAGAAGAACAGAACGACATAACGAAGTCATGAAATAACGGAGTAACGTGATAACGATGTGACGAAGTAAACGAAGTAGCGAAATAAACGAAGTGACGAAATAAACGAAGTTGCGAAATAAACGAAGTAACGAGAATAATAAAACCAAACTAAATCTCAGGAATATTATTTGCGAGGAATTATTCATGATGCTTTTCTATATTATGTAACTTTATGTTTTATATAAATGGAAGGGAGATTTATGCTCAAAAAAGAATAACAAACTTTAAGTAAAAATTATTAAGAGAAGTTAGCATATAACAAATTGTCAAAAATGACAATTGATAAATCATAATTTGTCATAAATAGTTGTGAGAGTGATTGTGATTGCGATAAGGGTGAAGATATCAGTGATGTTATTGGAAAGATTAGTGATTATGGGTTCTGCGTTGAATAATTATTAATTAAATCATAATTATCATTATTGGTATTAATTATGTAACTTTCACCATATGTATTTTTATCGTAATTGTTGTTAATATTATCAGCGAAGGAAAAATCGAATAAAATAGGAAGTTGATTATCTAATTCATTGAACGCGTTGTTGATCGAATTTTGAGTTAGATCATTAGCATCGGTATAGTCTTGATGAATGGTTGTAAGCCAATCACTATAGTCTTGATGAATGGTTGTAAGGCCATCACTATAGTCTTGATGAATGGTTGTAAGTCCATCACTATAGTCTTGATGAATGGTTGTAAGGCCGTCACTATAGTCTTTAGGAATGGTTGTAAGGCCATCACTATAGTCTTGATGATTATAGATGGCTGTCGTAAAGTTATTAGTATAGTCTTGATTGTTATATATGGCTATCGTAAAGTTATTAGTATAGTCTTGATTATTGTCAGTGACTGTCGAACTTAGTGACGTTGAAGAGTTAGGGTTAGCTGATGAAGTAGGATACTTTTTCTGTTCTCGAAAAATAAATTTTTTACCACTTGAATTCTTTGGATTTTTTGGCTTATATTTATAATCAGGATATACACGCTTATGATTCTCACAAGCTATTCTTTCCAATATTTTGAAGAAATCCTTGACTTCGCTTGATAGTTTTTTCCACCTTGAGCTGCATTCCTTTGCTGTTTCAATAATTGTTGATTTGGCATATCGATCACATAAACGTAAATACGCTTCATAATCTCTTCGAAAAATTATCCAACTGTTTTGTGGTCGTGGTGATTTATCAAAATCATGGTATTTTCTTACGGCTGATTTTGTTAATTCATCAATCGTAAGAGTTAATCGGTAAGGGCATTGTTGTAAAATCTGTATTTCGTGATCTGTTAAATACGCGTAATTAGGGCTGGTGAAATTGGTCATCTTTAGATGATTAAAAAAATGCAAATTTGAACAGACTAGAGATTTATAATTATGACAAAAAATTCTAAAGAGTTGGATTTATATGCACGTAAAACATAGGACAAACATCTTTTGTTCTAAACATTAGTAATCTTTCGTTTAGAATCTCCTTTTGAGATTATCTTTGTCTTTATGTTGGATGATTTTATTCCCATACTAATAACATAAAGACAAACATTTAAAATTTCTTGGCATAAAGAAATTCTCTTGATCATTATGCATAAATAACGATAATAATTTATTTAAAATGTACTTTTTTGGCAGATTGACGGCTCAACATTTCCTATCGTTACTGTTTTAAATCAGGATTTACCGTTACGTTATCAGTTGCATCTAACGTCAATGTTAAAAATAAACCTTGCGCATCTTTCACTTAGTCAAACAAAGGATTTCCGTATAGTTCAAGATGTCAAAAATAATCTATTACTAACACGCGTTTCAAAGATTTTAACATTCTCATCAAATATTTGTTTGTAAAACTTCTAATGGATAATTACACGCTCGGTTATTTTGAGTAGTTCTTACGTAATGAAGAAAATCCCGAAATTAGGCAGTACTGAATTAAAACCACGTTTTTCGCTCTCGATTACTAAGTACATGTACCCGTATTTCTAAACAATACGTAATTAATTTTTATTAGTTTTAACTACTTTTAGAAAATTCTCATTGTTATTACAACCGGTGGATTAGTTATTTTTAATTTAACGCTAAGGCTACAAAATTGTGGAATCGATCCTCCGGATATGATAGAGATAAGATACGCTTTCCATTGATGTCGTATCCCCTTTCCAATAAATTTCATTATATTGTTGTTTATTGAATCATCTTTTTTTTGATCACCGACATCTGATAACGAATATCTTTTAAACCTTTGCTAGAAAAGATCGTAAAGGGTTGCTTGTCCTACATTTTCATACACTTACTCAAATACGTGTTTACTCCGTAAACGCACATAAAAGTGCCTTTTTGCAGACATATCGGGATTTTTCCTATTTTTTTACAGACATTTTACAGGCGTACGTTTCTTTAGAGAAAAGCACAGTTAACTGAAGTTGACTTTGTTTTGTGTGGATATAGAAAGAGAGAATGTAACCTTTTAATCAAAGTAACAGGCATCCATTCATTTTAACTTAATATTTTAATATGCACATATGTCAACAAATGTTTTCACAGTTTTTCAGCTATTTTAAAACAGCTCACCTAGTGTCGAAACTTCGGAATACCCGTCTTCCTTCTGATTGAAGAAGGTATATTTCATTGTAAATTAAATGCGATTGGCATGATTTTATACTATATTACGAGGGTCATTTCAGGATCATTTCAGAATCATTACAATTTAAGTATCCCGTTCCTTCATTAGTCCGAGGACAGTAAAGTGTTTATCTTCTAAACAAAAAGAACAGGTTGAAGTTAATTCTTGGGAATCACTCCTTGTTCTTAATTACTACTAATATACACTTGGTGAGGCTGACCTTGATAAGTTTGCTGTAAAGTAGCACAAGAAAAAGTTTCTCTCAAATCTTTTTTTCCTTTTTCTCTTCTCAATTGTTGATTAGCACTTTGGAACATATTATAGGGCCCGGATAATCTTAAATGAATTGGAATGCCAATTCTGGCCGAATTTTATAAATTTGACCAGAATTATGGCATACCAGTTCTTTAAGATTGTCCGGAGTCCTATATTATTGACACAATCTCGTCAGTATTGTATTGATTATGCTGTTATATTTGATCTGATTAGTTTTCGGTTAAATAACTTGTTAAGAAAAAATATTATTACTGCGATCACGATCGATTTTTTATTTGAACTATAAATTAACTAACGCTAAATAAAACTTATTTTTGATCGATCTTTTACAAGTCTAATTCGAAAACAGCAATAGATCATCCCGTCTGAATGATCTTAAGAAAGGAATTTTAATATGTTCGATTCTTTTTATTTATAGTCTGCACGGAATTACAGTACCATGTAATTGGCCTCCTTCTAAAAAAGGCTGGCATTTCAATCCCGAAATGTATCTCACCGTAATACATATTGTTACCGCCGGCAAACAAACTTCCTCGATTACGGTTCTTCGAGGATAATCGACGGAAAACGAGTCGCGAATGTCAATAACGTCGGATCAGCGTATGTGTAGCGTCGCTGATTTCCAAAACCGGTAGAATTTACAGCAACAACTACGGAAATTATCCTCCTTCGGGTGGGAAAATAATTGGCGGCTAATTGGAAAATAGTTCTGGGCGATAGTCGTGGTTCTAGTCCCCATCGGTCCGCTGTTCATTCTTCCCAGCACACGACCATGATAGCGACGAAAAATGAGCAAATGACCACCTGATAAATGAAATTCAATTACAACGTGGTAAGCTCTTCAGCAGATAATTCCCACCGCATTATCAACAAATACTGCTGTAGATTATTCAGCAAAACAGCAACAGATTTAGTCACGAATGTCAACAAATGCGGTTTGTGATTGTTCAGCATGACGACAGGCTAATAAAAACAACAAGTTCCCTTTTTAATATGCGACACGGAATTGCGCCACTCGCGTTCTCTTTTTTTTAGCGTCTCCTTATTATTTTTCCTTATTTTCAGCGTCTCATCATTGTTTTTCAGCGTCTCATCATTATTTTTCAGCATCTCCTCATCGTTTTCAGCATCTCCTCATCAATCTTCAGCGCGGTTCCATCAGTTTCTGCTGTGGATGATAGAGCGTCCGTTATAAACTTTTTTTATTTTAGTAAAACAATATGCCTTCTTTGACGGTACAAAAATAATAACACACAAAAAAATGTATAAAAGAATGGCCCACGGGCTATTAGTAAAGAACAGAATAAAATTGTGTACAATTGTTCTCCAAGCAAAATTAAACTTGAATTATTGCGTACAATTATTCTCCCACTAAGTAAATTATCGCTTGTAAAATTCTCTCTCCCCCCTACATTAATTGCTATAATGATTGTTGGTTAGGTCCTTGTACCAGAAAAGGCGTAGTTTTGTGAAGAATCGCATTGTTAATAAAAACCGTTTTTTGCGTAATCGTAATTGTCGTTATTATTTTTAAGAGTTTAAGGCTTTTGTCTAGAAAAAGTAACGATTGTTATTAATATTTTAAAGAGTTTAAGGCTTTTACCTATAAAAAGCAACAATAAAAGAACCCCCGAACACTCACCTGAACCACATAGACTCTCTCTTCCCCCAAAAATCAACGTAGTCAACGATATCTGTAGATATCGGCACAGGCTCTAGATATCGAACAAACATCAATCAATCTAATAATCTCTCCCAAAGACTTGTTGCGTTAGAAATCCCTCAAATCGCCCCAACCTAACGAAAGCACAACAATATCTTGATTTAATAGGATTATGACGCAGACTCGATCATGAAGAGCATCGTAATTACGCGAAATTTTATTAGTTAACGCGTCTTCGCCCATTAAAGAGAAAAATTCCCAGCTTAAAGAATTGTGCTCAAAACTATATATATTATAAATCGTGAAGGGTAAATTGAAAATAAATTGAAATAATATTACTAGTAAAAATAAAAAATCCCAGTATTGGAAGGGTGTCCGGAATGCCAATTGAATTGGTTCATTCCAGGCACAGAAAAAAAGCATTTTTTTTGAGTCTGTAACTTTGGGACGCGATATCTCGTGATCAGTAAACCATTTGAACAAAATACTACCGTTCAATTTGCTTTGACTAAACAAATCGAATGGTGGTATTTCTACCCAATTTAGACCACTAGATCATGATATATTGTGTCACAAGGTTAACGATTCAAGAAAATAATTTTTTTCTTTCCTCGAAATGTATTGTGAGGGTACCTGGAATGAGCCAATTCAATTGGCATTCCGGGTACTCTTTCACTAGTGTTACTAGTAGTAGTACTTATACTTTTGACATGCCAAATGGCATTTAAAGCTGGGTTGACATGTAAGGAGAATTTATCATGTGTTGATTTTTAAGAACATGATGTCCAAGGATAAATTTTTTGTGTATTTGTTCTTTAAGTAAACTAACCGTCAATACTTTCCACGTGGACTGTATTTAGAAACATATAACAAATTTGATAAAACAAAGACAACATCAAAACATAAGAAGATAGAGAACAATAAAATATAACTATAAAGTAAAATTATCAAGAGAAGTCAACATACATATAACACATAATCTAGTTAACATTAAAATGTAAGAAGAGAGAGCAAAACAAATTTAAGTAAAATTATTAAGAGAAGCTAAACATATAGCAAATCGTCAAAAATGACATTCGATAAATCATATTTTGTCATAAATAGTTGTGAAATGTTGTGATTGCGATAAAGGTGAAGACATTAACGGTGTTATTGGAATATTAATAATAAATGGGTTCTGCGTCGAAGAATTAATAATTGGACCGTTATTATCATTATCGATATTAATTATGCAACTGTCACTACCTGTATTTTTATTATTGTTGTCTTTAGCGAAGAAAAAATCTGTTTCAAATAAAATAGGAAATTTAAATATCGTTGATTATAAATGTTTTGATAATTATATAAGTGGCTGTCGTAAAGTTATAAGTATAGCCTTAATTATTGTGAGTGGGTGTCAAAATTGCAGACGTTTAAGACGGTGACCCATCGATTTGTATTGCTACTTGAAAGCTAGTGTATCAGACTTAGCTGGCAAAGTGGATACATCTCTTTTCTGTTCTTGAAGAATAAATTCTCTACGGCTGCATTTTTTACTTGGCACATCAGGACTACGTGAGCATATGATCGTTTGTGATTGTGGTGATTAATTGTGATTTTTTGGTAGACTTAGTTAATTATTCAATTGTGAGGGTTAGGTTCATATATAGAAGTTTACGTTCAGTTATTAGTTTTATTTTGTATTCTATTTTTTCTTTTTGAAAGTAAAGATGTTTGAGAGTGCAGCAGATTTATACGAAAATTTTATGAGGAAAATTGTCCATGCCATCAATATTAAACTACTTTTCTTAATAGATACAATCAGAATCATTTCGATATAGAAAATTATAATAATTAATATCATTCATCCTTATCGTTACATATATAATTTCGTGACTAGCATGCTTTAACTTTTATATCACAACAAAAAACATTATTAACCAATTAAACATAATTTTTCATTTACATGTATTATTTATTGAATGAATAGATCCCATTGAACAATATTTAAATAACTCAACAAAGAATTTGGCGCCTGATCTTGCATCACAAAATGACAAATAATACATGGACAATCCACCAGTTAATTTGATACCGGTTATCATAATATTCTTGTTGATATGACGAAACTGCGCTATCTATATTCAATATTATTACATACGTATTTCGACATCATGACTAAAACTTATGTCATATTAACAGGAATGAACTGTAGTGTCTTTTTGCAAGAAACACGATTTTATGCAAAATGATTATATTCGGATATGTAGCCAGACACAATTTACTGCTTTTATCTATTTTAATTTCAATTAATCGATGTCAGTTCTAAGATGGTAACTTTTTTTAATTATTGATCGCTGTATCGAGTCGTATGCGGTTTTTTTAATTTTCCAAATTATTGATGAAATCCTAAAGTATCGATATCGGTATCTACGTACGTATAACGATAACGGAGTTTACATTCTACATATCGATATATTTGTGTGTGTCTAAATCGATACACAAACAAATACCGATACGTATATGTATGCTAATACGGCAAACGTATAAAGTACATGTACATGTATTTAATTGAATCAAACAATTGCGTTTTTTATATGAAAAAATAATATGAAAATAATATTAAAATAGTAAATACCATCAAGTTTATAACTAATAAATTTCACTTTCATTTTTTCGTTTTGAAGATACAAACTGGTACGTACTTGTAGATTCGGCATTAATATCTATATCTATATCATATTCAGTAGTCACGTATTCTAGAGTTGTATGCAGACAAATATTTTTAATACATTTCAATAAAAATAATATAACAAGCGATTTTACCTTCGTTTGGAACATACAAACAGAACCTGAATATTCGATACAATTTTGTTTAATATGAAATGGCAACGTGAGTTATATTTAAAAATAAAATGTATCATTTAGAATTGAAATTGATTTTGAAGTAAAGATTTGACTGGTTTAATGCATTGGAGTGGATTTGTTCGTATATGCAGGAATTTTTTTTTGCCGTTTAATCTCTTCCGTTTCTGCATTTCTAGTTTAAGACACTATTAAATTTCTTCATATGTTTTAGGAGATTCTAAAGAGCTGTAGTACTGAGGCAAAGTATTCAGTTTTCACTCTTCATCGATATCGATCCATTTGATCGAGTAGAGAAACGAGTAAAGTTCATCAGCAGCTGTATCATTCAGAAATATCTTAGGTCGTACTCCATCACGTATAGATGTCGCATACAAGGTGAATATCATGACTCCGCTCACCGAATGGTTGTTCATCTAGTAATAATATATTTCCAGAGTGAAAGTTACGATGCACAAATTCCTCGTTGTGAATTTTATTCAACCCTCTAATAATAGTCTTAATTTTTCAATTCTTCGTATTTTGAATTCATATACATGTATCTACGAAGATCTATCGAGTATTCATTTTTTAGCTATTCCATAATCTTCAACAAAACTTTAGAGCAGTCTGAATATGCTTACACTTTAAAAGGTGTTTGTTTTACCTCGTTTATAAACTCGGATGTAATTCGCTTTGAATTGTGTAATGATTTCAACACAACTTCAGTTTATCCTCATCGTTTAAATTTATTCTCTACATGATCCCAAGCATAAACTAATTTTCCGTCCAACCAGGATACTTTATAAATTGGTACAAAACCTCCTTTTGCAAGATATTCAATATTGATGAATTTTCAAAAGGGAATTTATCATCATTAATTTTCATGCATTTCAACTTTATAAATTTGCTTATAAGATGCATAGCTTGACAATCAGCACATTTTCTACAATCTTGAATATTGTGAACTGAACATGCTTTGCAGTAGCCATAGTATTTACAATTTCAGCATTTACTACAATCATGAGTATTCGAAACTTTAGATGTCATCTTTAGTTATCAACGATATTGATTTGAAAAAAAAAAAACGATGACTTACGTTTATACGAATTTATGAAAAAATGACACAGGAGCACATTACTGTAATTTCCACATAAACCACCAATGGTTCTGTTACATTTTAATAAAAAAGAGGGGTGTCTACTTCAAATTATATTCTTATTAATATTAACGTTAATAAAAAAAAAATAAGCACAATCGATTATACCCAAAATTTAATCAATCATAACTGGAAGGTTTTTTATGTGTTTCTATATGAAAGTTATATAGAATCTATTCAGAAAAGACCGGTTTATTCCTTTTTTATTGAATATTTTTATTCTAATTATTTTACAGCTTTATAATGAATATTGATCCGCAAAACTCATATTTCCTAAATATACTATCCAACCACTGACGAAAACACACCCACAATTTCTTATTTAGTACAAAATGCAAGTTTTCTGGAATCAAAAAGAGTATTCGCATCAAATCCGATTTCATCATTCTATCGGTGTTTCTAATCCATCAATAGCAGGCTCAACCAAAATTGCAAACTATGTAAATATCGCGTACGCAAGAAAAATAGGACTGATGATGACCGTAGTAAAATTTTAAGTTGAATCACATAGAATTTTTCAAGTCGACTTTATGTATCCATCACTCTCGTCTGAAAGATGAATAATTGCTTCTGGCCAATCATCGTAAATCACAGAATCAACAGTATATCGAGATCTTGTGTATTGACAACAATTTTTTGTTCCCCTTCATAGCTTCTGCCAATTTCCTGTACAGTAGTATCGATATTTTAGTACCGTCACCTCGTTGATAACAACTAGCAAGATTTGATTGAGCCACTACGTATCTGTTTTCTGCAGATTTAGCGTACCAGTTAAATGCTAATGCTTTACTTACACTGGTTCCTAAAACCCATGCTGTAACAGCATCCCGTTTGATTTTGAGCTAATGCGTCATTGAAGTTTCTGCCGCTAGTTAACGATAATAAAATAATTTATTTCTGTTCCTATTCTCCAAATGTATAGAAAAGCTAAGAGAGATGCATCTTTTGAATTTTGCGTTGCGCTGTGAATTTACCAGTTCAAAAAGTTGATTTATGGTGATGATGTGTGATTTTACGAGATTTATTATTTGGACTTGTATTTGAATAAAAACAAAGATTCGCATTGATGAATAAAGTTAGAAGATCGTTATTATTATTTGATAAATTTGAGAACTTCCAATGAACATTTGGAAAGACTTTAAAATTTGCATCTTTTGTTGTTCCAAGCATTCAGATTTGAACTCGATGAACATCTTTTCTTTTGTTTATTTTAACAAAAGCAGAAAACAGTAAATAAATCAAGACTTAAATACGCATCCGAATGAATGCGTTATTTGAGTTTACTATTGCGTATTTTAAAGAGCATGCCATGTACGTATCAGGTGTTATTTTTTCATAGATCCAAAAAAATCAGGTGATAAAGGCATGCCCCTAAGTGTCATCTAATCTGTAGAAAGTCTCATGTACATGTACGTAATAAGAATTCGGCAAATTTTTTGGAGAAAAATATGATGTTATCCCATTATTAATGAATAGGAGATATTGTCATGGAAACCTTTTTTTGGAATTTTATGACGATGTGTTTTACTACCATTTGGGACGAGTGGTGGGAAAAGGCATTGTCATTTTCCCAGCATTCATCCCATTTATTCTGTGATTTAACCAAAGAATTTTCTTTCTCTTTTTTAACAAATTTAATTTTAATATCAATATTATTAAATTATACAATGTGCATAAATAATGAGAATTTTATTTTATTCTGCTATAAACAATAAAGATACATCAAAAATTTTTATAAATTAAGAAATAAATTTCATCAAGATTTAAGAGTAGAACATTTGAACCTTATTTAAACACACGGTTATTAATTTAATAACTAAAATTTTTACTTTGATCATTAATATTCTTATTGCACTAAATTAAAGTTTAAATTTTCTACAGTGTGTGATTTATGCGACAAAATACAGTAGATTAAATATTATAATGATATTTAAATAATTTTTTGCAAACTACAATTTTGCTAATCAAGCTCAATAAATTCTCTTAAATAAGACAGTTAAATACTTCAATAATTTGACTAAAGTAAATTTTATTATAGTAGAGAACAGAAGCAGTTAACTCCTTTTAACTTACCAGAAGTTCTTTTAACAATCTAAAACTTTACAATACAAATTCCGAATTTTTTAATATATCATAAAGCTCAAAAAGTACAAACACATGATTTAATATGAGTAATAAAAAGTAAGTCTCCCTAGTTATATCTAATAGATTTTATTAATAATCTTTCTAATATAATATTATAAAAAAGAGAAAAATAGTTATTTTAGTTAAAATTTCTAATACATCTTATCAATTCAAATAATCAACATTTATTTATGTAATTGTTTTAAATATTTATTATATACTTTTTATTTGTTTTATAACTTTTTATAGTATTTAATTGTCTTTGTTTAATATGAACCAGTGCAATAAGTTTTGTATTTCAAAATAAAGTTAATAATTGCTTCTAATAAAAGTTACTAATCTCTATAATTTTTTATACTAAATAAAGAATAATTTAGACTAACTTTTTATATTATTTTTATCATTCATTGTACTTTTATTTAATAATAAATAAAGCAATATTTTTTCTAAAAAAAAATATATTTTAAGCATTATTTTTATCAATTTTCAATATTAAAACTTCAAAGTATACAAGTATATTATTACACATTTAATAAAAATATATTTTAAATTTTATAAAGATTAAATTAATAGTTATAGCAAAATTAAGTCTCAAATTTTAATAATAAATATATTTTATATTAATCTTATATAGTAAAATTTATGAAAAGAATTCAAAAAATTATTATATGTACTAGCAAAATCTTTTTTATAGACAATCAGAAATAATGCAATAACGTCAAAATTTATTAATTAAACATAGTAAAATGCGAATTTTTCTCTTTATATAAAAGTTTTCAATTTTACTAATAAATATTTTTTATTTTTACATTAAAATGAAGATAATATCACATATTTTAACATATATTTTTTTCAGATTTTTTAGATTTAATCTGATAAAGCTGTTCTAATTGCATATAAAGTCAATTATTTTTTTATATGTTTTAATTATAAAAAAATAATGAACTTTATATGCAATTAGAACAGCTTTATCAGATTAAATCTAAAAAATCTGAAAAAATATATGTTAAATATCTTCATTTTAATAAAAAATATTTATTAGTAAAATTGAAAACTTTTATATAAAGAGAAAAATTCATATTTTACTATGTTTAATTAATAAATTTTAACGTTGTTGCATTATTTCTGATTGTCACTATATATAATTAAATTATATATATTAAAATAAATTCTAACATCTAATGACTTAATTAATGAGACAGAATTAATTTTAAAGAAAATAATTATCTTATGTACAAATCTTTTTTGTGCTAACTCATATTTATTTATATTTTTATATTATTTTTTATTATTTCATTCTATTGTTATATTAATATATTTTATATTTATTATTTTTGTATTCACCTATATTAGTTTATACTATTTAATATTAATTATTTCTCTATAAAAAAATCACCCAGGAAATTATTCAGATTTTTCAGGTAAAAAATTAAAAATCTGTTTTTCCTAAAATAATTTTCTGAGTTAATTTCAAAAAATAACTTGTTCTTTTTCTAAAATATCCAAATATTTTTCAGATCTAATTACAGTATATTATAATAATATCGAAAACAAGAAATTACATTCAAGTTGCCTTGGTAATCCAACATAATATTCATTACAGCTAATGGGTTCAATTTTTGCGTTCTCCTGACCTTTTTCAAAAAAAATCATGCGTTTTGGATATACAGAGGATTCAACTAAAATTAGGACAGTCGTTAAACATTTAAAATAATGATACTATGAAAAGCCGATTTTTTTACTAATGCAATGATCTTTCATGTAATAATCAAACATGTTCACCATATTAAATTCCACAATATAGTGAACTTCAAAATAAATGACTACTTTACAAGCTTTGAAACATCATTTTCCAAAACTTTCATTCGTGAACTTTGAATGAGAGATTAGCCACAATGCCAAATTTTAACACAATAAATGCTAATAATTAAAAATGTTCATCAGATTCCATTCTAAATACTGTCTAACCTCTATATAGTCCCACCATCGGTAAAAAAATTAAATAGGTGATTATAAAAAGGTTATGACTATATAGAGGTTTTTTATATAGCATTAATAGGTGTTGGTTATATGAAAAGTGTAAACATCTTATGCAACAAATACAGAGAAATAATTAGAAATTCTTTAACCTTTATGTTTATTTCACACAATTTCAAGACAAATTTCCAATTCATGCGAGTCCGGCTCTAAGAAACTTCAATAGTCAATTAAATTTTTACTTTTGATTATAAAAGTTACTATAAAAATTTACCGTCATTTCGCATACGAGAAGATAATCGTTGACTTTCTGCAGCTTCAATCATGCCGCTAAGAGGACGGCTTCTATATATTGCACCAGGGTGTCTGTAAGTTGCAAATCTATTCTTTAATCTCTGAATTCTTTCTGTTGTAGCAGTACGAGACTCAGCTAGAAGACAAATATAAGCTTTCATTTGTACAATTTCGTCTATTGTTGGTCGTTTTGGTGAATCAGAATCCCAACAACGTGTCATTAATTCGCGATACTTTGATGGCATATCCTCAGGTATCTCTGGCCGTAAACCATCACATATATCGAGAATAAAGTGGACATTGTGATTTTTATTTTCAAATGGTCTTTCCATATTCCATATTTCCCACATTAACATTCCAAAAGAATATATATCTGCAGCTTTGGTGTATGATTTTCCTCGTAAAACTTCCGGGGCAACATATGGTATGATCCCGTAAACTTCTTCATTAGTTGTTATTTCTGATTCTAATTTTGATCTTCCAAAATCGCATATGCTAAAGGCTTGGTCTTTGCATAGAACATTACCACTATGAAGATCACGATGAACAATATTATTACTATGAAGTTGTTCCAATCCTTCTATAATATTTTGAACTCCTTTAAATATTTTTTTCATATGTATCGTATTGAATGTTGCAACTTTTTCTTTGAAATAAGTGCAAAGAGCACCATGTTCAAAGTATTCTAATACAAGAACAAAATTCCTGGTACAGTCAACTCTCCATAAATGCAACCTCTGGGGACCAGCTTCAAAGCATGCATTTAGAGAGTGTTGCAATTAGAGA